AGAGCGGGGCGGAGGCGTGTGGGATGCGGGGGCAGAGTGGGCGGGGGATATGTGGAGCTGGGGCAAAGCAGCCCGGATGTGCTTAGTGTCATGGGGGCCTGGGGCGTTTGGGGTCGGGGGCTGCGGCCGGCCTGGGGGGCTGGGGCCAGGGTCAAAGGGAGCCTGAGGCATTTGGGGTTGGGGGTCATGGGCCAAACATCGCATGTCTTCAAAGAGTCGGAGCCGTGCCTGGGTGCAGGAAGCAGAGCAGGGGCCCTTTGCAGGATACACCTTAACCTGGACAAGCTGGGTGAGAGTTTGTTGCTGGATACCGACGAGAGACCTTTCTCCTCACCAGCAGCACCAGCAGCATGATTATTAAATGTTGTAAAGTTACCCTGGCAGTTCATAAATGCTGTGGAAAGGTGTCTTTCCACGTGTGGTTCGTTAGCTCCGCTGGGTCTCCGGTGTTGCTGGCGTACGGGGTAGGAGGTAGGCCAGCGCTTTCAGCCAGGCCTGGAGAGCAGGCAGACCTTGCAGTTCCAGTAGTTACAGCTTAAGCCTTACACACTTCCCGTCTTTAGCCCGAATCGGTGCTTTCTTCCTTCATTAACCTGCAAATACCAAGAGGCGGGTGGTAAACCTAGTGTTACCGTTACTGAATTATTCACCATAAACTTGTGCCATTATTTACTCAAAGACCTTTAAAGTACCACTTGTACTATGAAATGTGGTTTTACCACGTAAGTAACGCTACAAAATAAAACCAAAGGGATTCTTTTGTGCAATCCAAGTGGTTTCTGATGCAGCATACTCAAGTTACAATATGAAGATTAGTTAAAACATGAGCCAGACTAGATTGTTGCTGCCTCTCTCAGCACTGCCTTGGTTCTGCAGAACAAGCAGCAGTGAAAGTAATGACATGTTATTTGACCCAGGAAATGAGACAAGCGATTACAAAACGCAGCAGCAGAAGTCTGTAAAATAAAACAGAGCTATCTGCGTGGAGCTGCATGTCAGCTCAGTTCTTGTATTTCCTCTGTTACGGCTGAAGATCCTGATTCAGACATCAGTGTTTCATCTGATGGCTTTATAAGTAAGTCTTCATCCTGAGTTACCGTTTTGCAGTCTGCTTCCGGGGACATGGCTAAAGGTGAAATGGGGATTGTGACTTCACGGCTCATTCTGCCTGAGTGAACTGAAGTCGAAACAGTATGCTTGACTTCACAAGCTGTTGCCATGGAAGTGCACCGTATAGTCAAGCATGTCCTGTTTTGGCTAGTCTAGCCTGGGTGCTGGGATGAGTTAAGTACCTGCACCTAGGAGGAAGAGTGTGTCTGGCCTGCTGGAAGAGCCACAGTGACTGACGGGAATAGGTAGGCTTTAGGGCCCACTTTCAAAAAACGTAAACCGCTATTTCAAAAGTGATTCAGGAGCAAAGATCCTGAACTTTATTTAAGTCGGTAAAAATGTAGCTCCCTAGAGACTCTGAATTGTTGTTACCTTTGGTGATTAGCTCCCATTTGAATTCGCTCTTTTACAGATAAACAGCCTATTTTTTGCTCCTTTAAGTTCCTCCGCAAGCCAGTTAACTGTGCTCTTGAGAGGCTCGGTTGTAAAATCATCAGCTGTCGTATCATGAGTTACTTCAGTGTCTATGTTACATGCGTTAGAGGTTTTTGTGACCTCCATGACAACCACAGGACAAGCTGAAATAAGGCTGGAACTCGGGCGTGAGGTTCCCTGCAAGTGAAGAGACTCTCTTGCCTCGCTGGCTTAGATTCTTAAAGACTGCAGAGGAAGAGGCAGGGCGGCAATTTATCCTAAAAGCAGATTAACACACTGGTGAGGTGACAGAGTTGGTTAATTGCATGCAGTTCGTGTAATTTCTTTTAAAATAGAAAGAAGGTGAGAAGCAAGAGGAGTAAGAAAAAGCAAAGAAAAGCTAGAATGTGACAGCTCATTACCTGACTAATCATAATTAACCGGCAAGATTTTGAAGTTTCTCAAAAGAGGAATTTTAAGCAGGGCTTTAGTTTGAGATACGAGAGTGCTCATAAATATTTTAAAGTTTTCACTGGGTATAAGATCAGCATAGGGGAAACGCTTCATTTCCTAAAGTCACCTGAAAAACTGTTGTCACTGCTTCCAATGATTTCCCTTCTAATGCAGAATCAAGCCAAAAATAGTTAATGTAAGGCATTTTCTCCATTTCAGCAATGGAGACCAGCAGTTCTGCTACAGAGAGTAAACACTGCAGTATCAAACAAGGCAAACAGGTAAGGCCTCTCTGAGTTGATGGACGTTAAGTGGGGACAGGGGAATTGCCAGCTCCTTTAAACAATCTGTATGTGAGTTTGGTGATGCTTTCATTTTTTCACCTTTTTTCTCCTTATTAATTGCCTATATCATCACTTAATTCTGTTCCCATCACGCCCAACAGAGCTTCATTTAGCTTTGCTCCTTTTTTTTTTTTCCTGTTTTGGCTGATAGTCATGAAGTTTTGGCCTTCCTTTCCCTGCCGCTGCATTTTCCGTCAAATTTACTGAGTCTCACTCAGTAGCACTATTCATTTTAAGTGTTCGCTTAAGATTTTCTTCAAGACTGCTACCCTGTGCTCTGTATTTCAAGTCAAGACTACTTTATGTGCTCATAAAAAGTATGCCCATCACAATTTTGCCCTGCATTTTATCGTAGATCCCAGAAATAGCACATTTTACACACATTTAAACTTTGTACCAAAAAAAAAATCTTCCTTTCTTTCTGCCTTTATGTATTATGCTTGTGTTTATGAGTAACTTACTGGTCTTGAAATTATATAATTCTTGTGTCCTGTGCTGCTGACGATGTATTTATGCCTTTGAATAATAAATGGTGTGTAAATATCATTGTGATTCTTTCCTTTGTCTTCAGGCTTGTAAATACTTTTGTAATATATGGGCAGATTGGAGCATATGTATGAATGTGCAACTCATGATTTGGTAATATTTCAAATATTTTTCAGAAGGAAGATGTTTCAGGAAAGCAGCTGATGAATGACAGCCATTTGGAAGCAGGTAACTGTTTTGGTCTCATAATGGTGGCAAATTTAATATTCCCTTTATACAGATGGAATGCTGACATGACTTTCCTACACTGATTCCCACTATCCTGCAACCTGCTTAAGTGGGCTGGGCAGTCATTTAAGTGTTCATCCTCTCGCACTACTGAATCTTAACATTAGTGTGTATGGCGGTAGAAGAAGTCATGCTGTGGGTGCAGGCGCTATAATATTCGAATTTATTTATCACACCTAAGGTTGGAAGGAAAACACTAGTCGAACACTGCTGTAAGTGAATGCTTTCCAGTTTTTAGTTTCATTCTTCATACTTTCATATTTTGTTTTCTTTCCAGACCAGAAACGCCTATCGTCACCCTCTCAGCTACGTTCATCCCTGCGCTCCCCAGAGAAAATAAGATCAGGACTCACAAAAGGAGGGTACCGGGTGGTTTTTTCCGACAGCAAAACTTTAGACTCCTCCTCAGAGAAGGACGTAATACAAAAGTCTGGTATTTTTGAGCTTAGCCAGGAAATTTCTTCTGTAAAGAGATTGAATTTGAATGCTGCAAATACAGTTGATTCATTTAAGTTACCCAGAGACACAAGGCTAAGCAATTTTGACAATTTTGACCATGTCTCCCTGACCTCAACTCCTCAGCACAAAGACTTTTTGAAAAAACTGCAGAATGATAAGAGCAGTATGGACCACAAAGATTGCAGTGGGAGGCTTACTAATGAAATGAAGACATCTTCACAGACCTCCAGTGGTGGTGTGCTGACACAGCATACCGAGACAGGAAATAGCAGCAGAAGTCCCTTCAAAATCAGCTCAGGTAAAAAAAAAAAAAAGTATTTATAACTTATGAGAGGCTTTATTTTTCCTAATCTCAGGCTACTGCAAAGGTGCTTCCATTTATCTCATTCCTAAGATCTGTGGTGAGTGTATTAATTTGAAGACTCTTCAAAACCAAAAATACACCACTGTACAGATAATTTGCTCTCCGATATAGTCATGATCCCAATTTGTCCCTAAACAGCCTGATTACCAAAGTTGGTGAAGAATCAGTGTCTGTAAAGTGAAGAATCTTGTTTTAACAGATGAATGCAGTGAAGTTATAACCATTATCTGTAATGAAGTGCTTACTTGGTGTCGAAGACTTGAGATCAGCTATTCTGGGCAACAAGCTGTTAGCTTTCAGCCTTCTTCAGATACCTGAGGCGATTTCATATTTGTGTTGATGAACACAGAACTCCTCAGTGACAAGTGTCCATCTGGCAGTTTTGTAGTCTGTGTTACACTTGCAACTGCATAAACAGAATTTCTTGAAAGTGAAACAACGCCTGTTTCCCTTGGCTGTTCTCCTAAGTCGAAACGTTCCTTAGATGAGGTACCTGCAAAGGGATACACCCTGATTTTGCCTAAAATTGAGTGTCTGCATTAAATTGAGTTGTCTTTTAACATCTATTATTTTTAATAGAGGTTTGCAGTTTACCAAGGAAGTTACTGTACCTGTAAACCTCTTCTCAACTCTGCCTCGACTGGTCCCCTTACACCTGATCGTCCTCAATGTCTTTCCTAGCTATAGGCAGTCAGACACAGATGCTTGAAGGTGTTTGGGCGACTAATTCCTGTTAAAATCAACAGGACATTGGTGTTTAAATGGAGTTAATCCCCTGTATAGCTTTGAAGACTTGTGCCTCGATGTTATTGTCCTCTGTGAAGGCCTGGTGCTTTACAATCAAACCACTTCTGCTGCTGCATCAGTCACTTCATAGAGGAGATAAGGATAAAAAATTGGCGAAAATTTATTTGCTTTGCTCTTTTCTTTCCCATAGATCTGAACACCAGCACACCTCTAAACCATAACTCTGCTCTACTAGCCAATCATTTTTCTACTTTATCTGCAAGCTTCAGTGATACAACATCGAAGCTTCACTCTTTATCAGCTGATATGTTACTGGAGAACTCACAGCCAGTAACCATGAGACCAACAATGCTATCTTCACTGACTGGGAATGTCAAAGAACCTGCAGCTAGTAAGTCCTCAAGCCCTTCTAGTGTGGAATACAAGCAAAGTGAGAGCCTGCATTCACTGATGTCTCCTAAATATTGCTTCAAAGACTCACACAAGGAGGCAAGTGTCTTATGATTTGTGATATTTGCTCTTCAGAAAGGCTTATGTGAAAAATGAGATGTTAATATGAATCTCCTAGTATAAAAAAGTTCTGTAAAGAATAACACAAAATAGCGTTTTTCTTTTAAAAAGTAATAACTTAATACTGTAATCTGAGACCATCCACTGCTGCTCTTTAAGAGTCTGAATACAGTTGAACTCGAAACTTGATGGAGCCAGTTCTGGTAGCACTGGGATAATTTTGCAACAGGTTGTCTGTACAGTTGTTCCTGAGTGTTTCTAACTGAGCTTGGGATATTACCAAAGAACACTCTGAATTTGCAATGATTTACAGCCACTACAGTGAAGTCTGCGTCTTATTTTCTCCTCTTGCTTGTGGAGGAAAGAAACTGTGGTGAACAAAATTCCATAGTGTCTATGCTGCATTTACTGCTAACCCTCACCCCCAGCATTACAGACAGACAGGTAGGTTTTCTGTCTCTCAGTATCCCAAGTCAAGGGGAGATGCCTTTGCCTTGAATATTTCTACAGATTATTGGATTCACTACTGGAGTAACAGATAGGAGTGCAGGACAGGCTGTTCAGTGAATCTGACTAGATGGTCTCTTTGGTCTTAAGCAGTCTTAAGCAGTTTATATTTATGTTTCAGAACAGAGTAGGCAGAGATTTTATCCTGCTATGCATTATACAAGCATCTGAGTATCTGCATTTTAGCTCTTGGGCTGTATGGACTCTCTCTTGTGTCCTGTTAGTCCCATCCTCATGGAAAGCACTGGAAGAAAACCCTGTGCTGCGTCATCACTAAGTTTACATTTACCATTCTTTGGCTGCAAAGAGTATTTTGTGCCTGTTTTTTCCTTCAGGTTGCAGGAAAACAGACTAGGATTTTTTTCAATGCCTCAAGAACTTCAAAAAGAAATGCAAAAGTGTGATGATGAAGTATGCAGATTTCACCACCATTAACTGGGTACAGTACTGACAGGCGCCCACTCTAGGCTGTTTGATAACAAGGCATAATTAAAGTGTGTCTGTGCTGCTGCACTTGAATAGAGAGTCACGTGTGGAGGATACTACAGATCACTGTTAGTACCAGGGGAAGATCCTGGAGGTCAAAAGGAGTTTTAGCACAGAGAACATGAACAGAGAACATGAACTTTCAGTGTGACGTGTGCTACTCAGGGAATTAACATTATTCTTGGTTATATAAATAGGTATGAGAGAGAGCAAGTGGTCTAGTGCACTAGTGTCTAGGGGCACTAGTGAAACTACCGATGAGATGCTGCAGAAAACGCAGATTTGCGTGAGGCCATTCATGCCTCCTTTCTTTATTCTCTCACGTAAATTCAGTATCATACTGTGCCTCTAACTTTTTTGTGACCGGTTGGAAAAGTGCAAGTCTAAACACCTGATAAATTTATCCAGTTAAGACAGGAGGTGCTTGCAGATGTACTGCATACATTAGTTGAGAAAGTAAGCAGCTTTGGCTTTTTCTCATTAGTCTTTTTCCAGTGAGCTGAGTAATGGTACTGGTGTCGCAGAAAGTCAGAGTCCCACCAGACCTGAAAAAGCATCCCACGTTACAGCTGTTCTGCAGCAACTCCTGGAATTGGTAGATTGTCACTGGAACGGATCTGGATCTCTTCTGTTTAACAAGGATTTTCTTGGTAAGCTTTCCAAGTATATGGAAAAACTTAAACATCTCTCTGCTTTTTTCCAATTCATATTTAAGGTCAGGAATTTATATCACCATGTGGCATTTAGACTTTGGGGCCTTATTCTGCTCTCCTCCTCAGAGTGATATTAGCTTCCCATTTTGTTCTGGAACATGTCTCTGATACTGCTTCACATTTCCTAAGCACTAAGCAAAAATTTTTTCTGTAACATGATACAGTCACTGCACTCGCTGTAGATAACAGTTGAATAACTAAGGTATATAGTGTAGAGGTAAATTTAAAGAGAGGCCTTGTAGTTAATTGCCATCCAATATATTAGAACTCAAGCCTTATGAAATGTCTTAGTTCAAACTATATATGAAGGTTGTTACTTGGATCTCCCTGGGAATTCTTTGACAATTTTTTTCCTTTCATAAGTTGCTATGCTACTGATAGTATTTTTTTCAAAGGAAAAGCTAATTTTCAATAATATTCCCTTCAGATTTTTAGTGGAAATTCGTAAGTTATTGGAATGAGATGCTTATAGTCAGATATTTTTGCAGCATAAAGGTCATATTGAAGTAGAACATTTCTAATTAGAACACAAAAGCCTTTGGATTGATTTTCAATTTTTACAAAAGTTTTGAGACTTCAGCTTTTCTCTTTAATTTGGCACTAGGAGAAAAATTTGAAAGGAAAAACTTCCGTCTTTGCTCTAGTGCCATTTAATGATAAAGAAAATACAATAGTTTTAAAATTTTTGTTAAAATCTATTTGTATCTCTGTAGTTCCAGCCCAAAACTTGCTTTTGCATCTGGTGGCTTGTACTTCTTCACAGCATGCTATTCATCTTCCAGCTGGACGCAGCTCCTCAACCTTAGCTAGAAATGATTCCAAAGTTCAAAGGCCCCAGCTGAAATATACTGAACAATTTGATAGAACAGGTATTGCTACGGTAGGTGGCTTTAACTGTCTGTCTTTGTCGGCATGCTAATGGCAGTTCAATAAGAAGATGAGCCTATTGTGAACGTTTTAGTAAGGAAAACCTCCTTGTATTAATGAAACTGTAGAAAGATGAATCACCTGATTTAATTACAAGGAGGAATAACAAGAAGGAATACTGCTTCCAGTGAGGTTTCTATTCATGCATTTTGAATACTCCTTGTATTTTGAACTGACAGACTGGTTCTAGGAAATATCAAATTAGTGGCACCTTGAAACAAGAATAGTTTCTTACTGTCTCCCTAGAGCCAGGGGCAAGGGAAAGTGTTGGATCCCCAGCCAGGTCTCTGTGCTACCCTACTTCGGACTTGGTAGAACTTTGTTGAGCCTCAGATGTTTTGGTCTAAAAACATCTCCAGTTCATTGATCTGATATTTCCTGGCAAGCCTTTTGTTTGAAAAATCTCTGAGCAGCTGTAGTTAGGGCTTTGGGCTTCCTCTAGTTGTTATGAGATGACAATGAAGTCCTGACTTGTTTTTCCACTGAGGCTGGGGTGGACAAACTCGGAAAGTGCACAGTAATCTTGCTGTCCTTAACAAAGCAGTTCAAAGCCTTTGCTTCTCGCAGATAGTGGTATCAATGTACATGTCCTTGCTAATCCTGTTTGTAACTGCTTTGCCTGTACAATCCCACGGGATTCTGTCCAAATCTTGCATCCATTTCCACCACTGTTTAGCTGACATCCTCCATGCTGGCTAGCTAGCTGCCACAGAGAGGAGCTGTTCAGCTAAGGACCAGCCTCATCTGGTCCACAGGAAAACAAGCAAACATCAAACACTCTCAATTTGCCTGGCTCAGCAATCCTGTTTATATTGATTTTGTCTAATGTCTAACCGTGAAAAGATCTGGGTCTGTTAACTCCGCAGCCAGACTTCTAGCAACTGTTTTTGCCTATCCTCCTTCTGTTTAGGGCCATGTGCCATAGTTGCTCAAATTACTACACTTCTCAGATGAAGCACATGCATTTCAGCTGCAGCTTCATATTTTCATCTGATTTTATTGCAGCCTTCTGCAGACAGGAATGGTCCTGTTCCCCTACCCTGCCTCCAGTTGTGTTGCTGCTCCCTTCCTCAAGCTGGGTTTAACAAGTGCATGGCTACAGGGTGTATCAAATCAAAGCAACCTCTTCATCCAATGGAAGACTGGTCTTTTTTTTTTTAAAGTGGATCTTACTCTCTCTAGCACACTCAGTCAGGAAGTGAGATGCCTGGGTTCAATGAGATACCCTTCCTGACAGGAATTCAAAACCTGCATGGTCCACCTTGAGAAGAGCTCCAGGGTTATCTCGCTGTAATGCTAACCCACACTGGGCTCTTCATTCTTCTTGCAACTCTGTCTCAGTGGAGTTAGATTTATGAAGGTAGAAAGAGCGAGCCAAACTATACCACAACAGAAGAATCAGGACAGCCAAGTTATATGACTTTCCCAAATCCACAGCATAAACCTGTGGCAGTAATGTGAGCAGGATGATGCTGCTGTTTTTCCCTCTTCTCCATAGCCTCGTACTCACGCCTTGAGACTAAAATGCCTAATGTAGGGAGAGCATTGCAAATGCGGCAGGGAAATATTTAAATCCAAACCTAAAATCTGGTTCCAATTAGCTCTCAAAAAAAAAAAAAAAAACCAACCATAGAAACATTGCTGTTTAGATTTGTTTTCTGACATCATCTGAGCTCTCTGCCAAAATGCCTGAATATCTTTTCATGTTTTCAATTTTATTGTTTGTTTAGGTTATTTTTTGTACACCTATGTAGTAAGGCTTTGTAAATGCCTTTTCTTCTTTAGGAGCGTGTTTCAAATGCATACTTCAAAGCAATGACATAAGAGGTCACTTAAATAAACAACCATGTTACCCCCATTTTCATTTATCGCTCTTCAGAGGGCTTACTAAGGACAGGTTCCTAGGGACTTACTGGGCAAAACTGTAGAGAAGTGCTTCATTTCTTTTAACATCATTTTGATTCTGCAACCCTTTGTTTTTTGATTTTTGGGTTTTTTTTGTCTTGTCTCATCACAAATGGATTATATGATGCAGCAGCTATTTAAAGGACTGGAAGAGACCCAGATGTCAGCTTCCAAGTTACAAGAGATGGATCAGACTGCTGCTTCTAATTATCACATCCGAAGAAATCAAGCACCCACATATGGTAGGGTCAAATTGCTTAGTTTTAGTTTATTGTGAGGAATATGATTGTGTTCAAATTATTTTTCTTTTCTCCTTGCAGTTAAGCACACTACTATTAAATGATGAATGGTCAGGAATGAAACAGGTCTTTTCCTTAGCAGCTGTACAATCTGTTCCTCTAGAAATGGAAGGATTCATTTATAGCCACCTAGGCTACAGCAGATCAAGTTAATGGTGACTTTATAAGCCTTACAAGCACTGGCGGAATGCAACATGCATACATTATTCCAGTATCCAGCTATGCCATATATGCCTCTTCTAGGAGGTTTGATTCATTTTGCAACAAGAACAAAACTACTGTAACGCGAGGATAAGGAAACATATCTGAACAGTAACATGATACTGGGTACCTTGACTGCCCAAGGACCAAAACATGCATTCTCACAAGCTGGAAGTAATTATCAGATGTCTTCTGTCTGTACCTAGCCCTCAGACAGATGAGCTGACAGTAGGCCAAACCTTAATCTTCATTTGCCCAACACTTCAATGGCCAGTATAAATGGTAACAGGTGAGATAGCCTCACCAATTTCACAGCCAAAAAGGTATGAGCATCTGTTCTGACCTGACCCGTAGCAAAGGCCGTAGAATTCAGTCCCCTGGATCCTGCTTCTGACTCAGGAACTTGTCACTGAGTTGCAGGTTGTGTTTTAGACAGTCATACAGGCCTGAGTTTAAGGCTTTAGGTAACAGACAATGTTCCACGTTGCTTCACAATCTGTTCCAATTTGTTTTATTCACTACTATTCACTCTATCCCTAGGATCCCACAGTCCCCTTTTGTCTTTCGGATTAAAGAGCCCTTCCTGCTAGACACGCTCTCAGTACAGCAGTACTTGTAAGCTCATCATTTAAGCTTGTGATCCAGAAATATGCCTGAAGCAGGTTCAGCTTCGGCTCTGCAACAAAGCAATAATAACTGTGATATTAATTGATATTGTTCATAACAACTGCTTCTGTTATGCACAGGTTGTTGTTAGTATCAAGATTTTTTTTTTTAATTAAAAATGCATTTACAAGCTTTTGCTGATTTTGCTCTACCCATCTCATTGTGTTCCCTTTAGATGAGTTGCTTTGGAAAAATGAGCAGCTGAGTTTCCAGGTGGAATTTCTAAGGCTGGAACTAAAACAATTTAACAGACTTCAGGAGACCGTGGCTCTTCTGCAGGACAGTCAGAGGTATGGATTGTGCACAGGTACAGTACACAACTTGCCTGTCACAGCAAGAGGTGGTACCCAGTGTCCCAAAAGAATCCTTCCAGCTCTTGGTTATGTATGTTTATTGTAATACCCACTGCACTGGGACAAAATTAATGAATTCAGAGCTTTGGCACATGAGCAAGCTATTCTGAAAAGACAGTTGTTATACATCAGCTGATCCATGGTCAGAGCCTATGCCAATGCTGTTTGTCTGCAGCAAGTGCCAGGGTAGCCTTTTCTCAGCTGCCCGCTATCAAAGGGAGGTGGTATGATACCACTGACCTGCAGGAGGAATTATGACTATGCTAGCTCAGATGAAGTATTTGTTTCAGGCAACAGGTGTATGGGATAAATATTTATAAAATTGTACTGAACTATGAAATTGCCTTCCAAGGGAAACACTGCAGTCCTACGCTAACCTGTATTTTGCATAAGGAGGTGCAAAGGGCACAGCAGAGAGCAGGGAAAGCCACCTCCTCCCCCTGTTTTGCAACATGGGATTCCTGGAGGGTTAGCTGCTGGTGTGCAAAGCTGAACCAAGAGTTCTAGCATCTCCAAGAACCACCTCTGCAAGCGCAGGGCAGGCAGTTCCCTCTTCAGCTCAGTTGAACCTCTTCTTTGTACATATTCAGTGCTCAGGACTCAGAAAACATGCTTCAGACCTTAATCAAATACCAGATATCTTTTCACTAATCATCTCTGAGAGAACTGAGAATGTCACAGAAGGCACATGGCTGACAAGTCACAAGTTGAACTTGGAAGGTCCTTTACTTAGAGTGTTTCTCCAAGGAGAGGAAAACGAAAATACTGTAGTTGGGTTTTTTATTAATGCTCCATTTCATAAACAGTAAACAAAAGGGCAAGTGATTATGGTTAAGTGTTTCAGGGTAAATAATAAATGATCATTATCAAGTGTTGCAAGATTCACATGGCTGGAACTGTTACAGATTTTTCAGCCAAGGTATGAAAATGCCAGTTCGATGAGTGGGAAATCCTGAATCGGCTGGACTTGATGAACCTTTTCTTTGTTTAGAAAAAGTATCTCAGGTCAAAATCAGAGACAGGAGAATGCCTTTTGCAATCATAGTATTGTGTTGATGTGCTTCCAGCTGCCTTAGCACATACTATTAATCTCTACAGCACATTTTGAATGGTTACTATTAGTTATTAACTGCTGGAAGCCAGTTATGTATGAAATCTTAAAATGAAGCATAGCTGTAGTTGTCTTGAAATCAGAGTTTTAAATACAACTTCAACTTTTTAAATGTGAATTTGAATAAATGGAAATCAGTATATCAGGTTTGTAAACATCTTTCTAATCATAGCAGGTTCACTCTGCTGAATGCGTACTCAGCATTTTAATCTTTTTCTGCAACAATCTTGCCCAGGTCTTTACTGTCCACAAACAACTTCCTGATGCAACAGTTGAATAAAGAGAACAGTCCTACTATTCACAAAACACCTCTTCCTTCTGAAAGATGCACCAGTTGTGAGAGATCACCCCCATTAGAAAAATCTGCTCCAGTACCATCAGTGTGCAGCTCTGGTCAGTACTGCAGTTCAGAGCAATTATGCAATTGTCCTCTCTAAAGGGAACAAAATAGACATTAAATATGGATTATGTTTGATTTTGTATCGAATGAAATGTCATGCTGCATTTAAAGATACTGAATTTATTGCTTGCTTTTACTGATTTCTCATCATCTTCCTACTCCTACCTTCCCCCATAGCTCTGAAAACATTCAAGTACTAGTATTCTTACATTTCTGTCACACTTCTTATATTAATATGGGGATGACTACTCTATAATAAAATTCTATCTGAAACCATGCCATGCTGGGAAGATGGTAATTTAGTTGATTCAATTCCCTCTAAATTTGTACTGAATCAATATCCTAACATGGTGCTGGCAATATGTAGTTGGAGGTGAAATATTGCATGTAACCGTTATAGTGAGACCAGTATCTCATGGCACTGACTGCAAGTATTTGAAGTTCTAGTCCCAGATTTAGATTTCTGCCTCTGAGAAAGTGTTTGATCCACCAGGATCTGAGCTGCTCTCTTGCTGAATGCATTTTGCCATCTAGTGTCTGTATTTTGGACACTGTTGGCCATCGGTCTTACAGTGAAAGGGAAAAGTATAGAAGGCGGCAATTGAATTACGATGAGATAAGGAAGCTGTTTGCCTGGCTTGAGGCCAAGGATCTGCACGGTACAGTGCAATACACAGTAGAAGGATGCTCACTATAGAAGTAAATGCAGTCCCATTACGCCACCATCTGCAGCTCAAATATATGTTCATGCGTGTGTGCTATTCTTTCACGGCATTTCTTTCCCAAGTGTACTTCAGTGCAACTTAGCACATAGAAGAGCAGGACTTTTGGAATAGCAATGTCTATCAGTTCTTCTTTGTGTTCCTAGACAGGACAGAAAGAGGAGGTCAGCTATGACACCTTCTCTGTTCCTCACTAAACAGCAAACCTGTTTGTTTCTTTATGCTCTGTGATCACAGAATCATAGAATCACAGAACGGTTGAGGTTGGAAGGGGCCTCTGGAGATCATCTAGTCCAACCCCCCTGCTCAAGCAGGGTCCTCTAGAGTACGTTGCCCAGGATCACGTCCAGACAGGTTTTGAATATCTCCAGGGAAGGAGACTCCACAACCTCTCTGGGCAACCTGGTCCAGTGCTCTGTCACCCTCACAGTCAAGAAGTTTTTCCCTCATGTTCAGATGGAACTTCCTGTGTTTCAGTTTATGCCCATTGATTACTGTCACAATGAAGACTCAGACTCCCTACGGTTCTGCCACAGCCTGAGAGGTTAGGCCTTTGAACTTGTCAAGAACACGTTAGCTAGCTGAAATCTTATAGCAACCCATCATGACCCTGCTGGACTTACTGGCATTCACTGTGTCACCCTTCTAGGGGTGAATCTGCAGCGTTGATGAACAGAGTGCTCACTCTCTTCATCAGTTATCTCTGGTCAAACCACTCATCCCAGACAAAAATGACCACTCAGGGGAGCCAGATGCCTAGTCCCAGGTACACAGCTTGCTGCCATAGTGTGAAGCACTTAGTACAGACATCACCCAAGATGATTTTAGATCAGATCTCTAGGGCAGTGACCTTGGGGCAGATAAATAGGTTGTTCTGAGGAAATCTGAGGTCATATTTTGATAACTTTCCTTCTGGCTAATGCTACCCTTTGCATCAGTGTGAGACTGTAGATTGAACTGCGCATTTTCTTAGCACACAGTCTGATGAGGCATTTCCAGGACAATGTTATTTCTGCATAGCCTGTAAATGTGATTCAGACTCTCCTTCCCTGCTTATCTGGAAGTGGACCACTGCAGCCAGTTGCTATTTTGAGGACTGCCATTTCAGAGCTGACCGATAGTCAAGGATCACCTCCTCCAAGTTCAAGAATGGTCCATCCCAACAAGCAGCAAATCAAGCAAAGGTGGCAAGAGGCCTGCATGGATGAACAAGTAGCTCCTGACTAAACTCAGACATAAAAAGGGAAGTGTACAATAGGTGGAAGGAAGGACAGGTGACCCAGGAGGAATAGAGAGAGACTATCAGAACATGCAGGAAGGGAGCTAGGAGAGCTAAAGCCCACCTGGAGCTGAAACTGGCAAGGGATGTGAAAGGCAACAAGAAAGGCTTCTACATAAGCAGCAGAAGGAAGGCTAGGAAAAATGTGGGCCCACAGCTAAATGAGGCAGGGGTGCTGGTAACAAAGGACACCAAAAAGGCAGAGGTACTGAATGCCTTCTTCACTTCATTCTTGACTGATAAAAGCAGCCCTCAGGAATCCCACGCTGCTGAGACCAGAGGGGAAGTCTGGAAGACTTAACCTTGGTGGAGGAGGACCATGTTAGGGAACAATGAAACAAACTGGACATACATGTGTCCACCAGCCCTGACGGGATGTAACCACGAGCGCTGAGGGAGCTGGCTGATGTCATTGTGAAGCTACTCTCGAATATCTTTGAACGGTCATGATTGATCAGGAGAAGTTCTTGAAGACTGGAAGAGAGCAAATATCACTCCTATCTTCAAAAAGGGCACAAAGGAGGATACAAGGAATTACAGGCTGGTCAGCCTCGCATGAATTCCTGAAAAAGTGGTGGAGCAGCTAATCCTTGATACTATTTCCAGACGTGAAGCTAAGGTGATTGAGAGTAGTCAGCATGGACTGATGAAGGGGAAATTGCATTTAACCAACCTGATAGCCTTCTATGATGAGATGACTGGCTTGGTGGATGAGGGGAGAGCAGTCAATGTTGTTTCTCTTGACTTTAGTAATGCTTTTGACGCTGTCTCCCATAACATCCTCACAGACAAGCTGATGAAGTATGGGATAGGTAGGTGGTCAGCGAGGTGGACTGATAACTGGCTGAACTGCTGGGCTCAGAGGGTTGTGATCAGCAGCACCAAGTCCGTCTGGAGGCCAGTCACTAGTGGTGTCCCCCAAGAGTTGATCTTGGGGCCCGTTTAACATCTTCATTAATGACCTGGATGATGGGAGCAAATGCACCCTCAGCAAGGTTGCAGGCCATACAAAACTGGGAGGAGTGGCTGATACACCAGATGGTTGTGGTGCTATTCAGAGGAACCCCGACAGACAGGAGAAACGGGCAGAGGGGACCCTCCTGAAGCTCAACAAAGGGAAGTGCAAAGTCCTGTGCCTAGGGTAGAAGAACCGCATGCACGAATACAGGCTGGGGGCTGACCAGCTGGGGAGCAGCTTCTCCTTTGCAGAGAAGGAGCCGGGGAGTCCTGGTGCACATGAAGTTGAACTTGGGCCAGCAATGCAGCCTCATGGCAAAGAAAGACGGCCAATGGTATCCCGGGCTGCATTAGGAAGAACATTGCCAGCAGGTCGAGGGAGGTGATCCTTCCCCTCTGCTCAGCGCTGGTGAGGCCGCAGTTGGAGCGATGGCCAATTCTCCTCGCAGGACCAGAAAGGCATGGATTTACTGGAGTGAGTCCAGCAAAGGGCCACAAAGATGATTAAGGGACTGAAGTGTCTCTCATCTGAGGAGAGGCTGATAGAGCTGGGACTGTTTAGTGTGGAGAAGAGGAGGTTCGGGGAGATCTTATCAATGTGTGTAAATGTCTGGTGAGAGGCTATAAAGAGGACGGGGCCAGACTCTTCTCCGTGGTGCCCAGTGACAGGACAAGAGGCAATGGGCACAAACTGGCACGCAGGGAATTCCACTTGAACACAAGAAAACGCTTTTTCACTGTGAGGATGGTTGAACACTGGACCGGGTTGCCCAGAGAGGTTGTGGAGTCTCCTTCCCTGGAGATATTCATAACCTGTCTGGACATGGTCCTAGGCAACGTGCTCCTGGTGACCCTGCTTGAGCTTGGGATGTTGGACTAGATGATCTCCAGAGGTCCATTCCATCCCCAGCTATTCTGTGATTCTATGATTCAGAAAAAACACTCTGAAGAAGACTGAGTCCTCCAATAACCTCAGCTTTCCTCATACTAATCAATTCCTCTCTTTGATGAAAGGAATTGTTCTAACACAGTTATGCTGTGATGGCAATTACTAAAACCTGTAAGCATTTAAAACAGCACGTCTTGGAGGTCCCATGTTGCAGTAAGCCTTAATTTAGCTAGATTGTCTCTGAAAAATTTTGGGCTTAAGTGATAATTAGTGTGAGCCAGCTGCTTCATGATTTGCACCGTGGTGCAAGTGAAAAGGCTCTTTCTTAGTCAAAGCAGGAATCCAGAAATTCACATAAAAAGGAACTGACATGTTCAGTAGAAGTAAAATAATTAGTAGGCATTTACCTAAAATTATCCAGGAGTCAATTACAAGCAATAGGCAATTTTATCTCATCTCCCGCCAAGCCCAGACCTAGCCTTCAAGCTTCCCGAGATATGATGGTGTTAATCAAGAACACTATTAAGTAACTACTACTACTGTCTTCCCTCTCCCAGTGCTCCAGTCAAATGCAGAGGCAGGTATCACTAGTAGGGTCAGCACACCTAGAGCCAATAACACAGGGGAAAAAAACAAAACAGAATCATAGACAGTAAATGTGATAGTACTTACAGGGCGTGCCCGTGCCAAAAAGTAAGCTGCATTCAAACATGGGCGATAAATATTACGCAAGACCTTTCAACTGAAAAAAGGCCAGGGTAATAAACCAAAGCTGAGCTTTCTATGCCATGAAGATCATGGAAAACCCTTTTTGATAGCCACTTGCATGACCTAGACTTGAAATCAGGTAGCCCAGAGCATTGTCATTTAATACTTCATTGGTAAAATTCTCTGAGCCACCATGTAGACAAAATTAATGGGAACAAATTTTATCTATGTGTGTCAAGAGACTGTCTGATGAACAGTTCACTGGCCAGGAGGCTGGGCTGGGCTGCAGCCAAGTGATCTTTCTGTTTACCACAATACTTCCTACTACCAAGGAAAGACCAATGTGACATCTTTGGCTATAGTGACTGGTGAGCTGGCAGACTATTACCATAGATTGATATGGTAATAGTCTGCCAGCTAGTGCTATCTCCGGCATTGTCACAGCTTTCACTGATGCCAAGAGGCCCAGAAATTTATGGAGAGGGAGTAGTTTATGTCTAATGCCATATACCGATAATTCCTCTTGGCCTCACTTCCTGACTTACTTAAATGAACTTAATGACACCCTAGCAAGGAGCCCAGGAAAGTGTCAGATCAAATACAGGCTGACTTCATTTGATTACGAAAAGTCATTAGCTTCCTGTCATCGGCAACATTACCCACTGCTTTCATGCGTGGATGTTTATTAACTAAAGGAACCCACTGAATCCTGCAGTGAGGA